CCGGTCCATTTCTCAGGAACTGACAATGAGAGGAAGGCATATACCATGTTTATGAAGTCAGAAGGGTCCCACTCGAATTAAGAATAAGCAAGTGATCCGCTACTTATGATTTAGGATTAGGAATCAAGTTAAAATTTGGGCGATAGCATTGCTACCAGTTCAGAAAGGTCATGTAGATGATAAATCCTAAAGTGGTGCAAGTGGGAAAGGTTTTTTGAAATCACAAGCCCTGTTAGCCCATCTGAATCTAATTCTCAGAAACTCTTTTCCTGTTAACAAGGCTTTTAGAAAGATCTAGCTTCACTGATACTCGCCATCACTGCAATGAGTTTTGACTCGTGTTTAATGACTTGTATTTACTGACATTTTTACGAGGCTTTTTGCAATGTGATCAACTTTGAAACGCTTATTAAACTTATTCCACTGCACACGAAGCACTTTTTTGCCACTAGAACCCGGCACGAACTGCTGTCTGCGTTTTATTCGTGCCTGCCATCCTGACATTGGACGATTTTCCGATGCTTCCCTCCATTTAAACCGCTCATGCCAATTGCTGTCTCCGAACGAATCGCTACTCTTCATACCTGATGCGTCCAAAAGTTTGACTTAAATGTTACTTCACTATTCGTGCACGTCTTTAGATTGATAAATTGGAATTTAGAGGGGCGCTTCAACTACCGAGGTCATTGGCGCCCATGACAAAGTGTCTTTTTTTAATTGAATCGATTTACTGGCATTCGCGTGGTGCCAGCCATCCGGGGTGGAAGGAAAATTTCGCCGCCCCGCATTAAAAGTATTTCAATATAAAAGGCTAAAATATTCAAGCTTGACAGAAAGTAGCAGATAGTCAAACATACAATAACATAAAGCAAAAACGTAAACATAAAATGTTTAATAGAGTCAATGTATTAGTAACGAATACAATTTTCAACAAAGTTCAATAATCTAAACAATCACATACACGTACTTATGAGTACTAGAAATCACAGTGTGTATGGTGCATACATATTCTTATACCACCCCGGCTCAAGATTGCAGGCAATAATACTCACAAGACCGGAGGCAGACAACGCGTGTTACACAGTTCAATGCTTTTAACTAATTATTGTGGATCACAGTTCTGTTTTCTTTAAAATCTCTCAATCAGTTTCAAAGTTGGCACAAGTTCCCTTTACACTTCATTATTCACAGATGCTTCTGATTGAATCATCTGGTAGGAAGTATTGTTAGGAAGACAGAAAAAAATGTTCCTCCATAACAAGACACTGGCAAATGTGGCTCAGGACATCAATAATTTCATCACATCATATTTCAGACATGCCCCCCACACACATGTTTGTATAGTCATTGTCAACATGATCCTGACAACACAGATGATGTTACATACATCACAAATGTTTTGTTCCACACTCCATGGTACATTCTGTTCACTCATCACTCTAGCAACACTCAGGCTTCACAGAGCAGATCCTAATCTGCATGAGGGGGGGTAGTGACTGTATCCTGAACAGGCTGCGCAACTACTATCCATGACAAGGTATATATGGGGGGGGAAGCCCCGATTATATTTGAACACCCTTGTATTTAGACATTGTTTATGCACGATTCCAAAAATCTTCTCAGTCTTGCTCGACTGTTGGGTAAGTGGCAAAGAGAGCCATGTTCCATAATGCAACACATGAATAACAAATATTTAATGGGCAGCCTCATTTTTGGAGCATTGCTGTTGCACGACATTGACTGTGTTGTGAAGTGACTCTGAAAATAAGAATTCAGTTGGTACATAGTGTATGAGAAAAATTAGAATAACAGTATTGTATTGGCATTTTTTAGTAAAAATGGAAACTGTTTCATTGTTTTTGTATTTTTGCTGAGTTCCTGGGTATCTAATGAAACATTCACGAATACTTGAGTGGAGACTGCATGGTTTTTTTTTTCAATTTCTGCGTTCATTGAAAATAAGTTATCTCTGTAACATAAAAGTTTGATAGCACATTAAATCTAGTACAAAGTAGAATGCAAGTGTGTTCTTAATCTTGGAAAACATGGAAAAAACAATTCCAAAAAGCCATCAGACTGCCCAACTTCGTCCATGTAGTTTCTCACTTTCTTTTATGAATGTTTTTTGCTATAGCATGAAGGCACGACTCCAGGGTCCTCAGCAACAAGCAGTCCCCACAGGGAAGGCACAGCGCATCGCTTTGTGCCTCAAGTGCTACAGCCCAGCACTTCCAGACATGAAGATGTGGTGAGTGTGCAGAGCCCAGAGGAAGGGTTGTCTGTGCTCCAGAGGACGTACGGCTCGCACTCGGGCGCAGCGGACCTGCTGGCTTCTCCTGACAACGGTGCTTCATTTGATCCAAATCTCATCACGGCACAGGATAGAATTTTGCTGTACCAGGATTATGATGGCACAAACACAGAAGTTTGAAGTGGGTTTACACAACTTTGGCAGTGGTTTTGCATGAAGAACTGTAGTGACTTCTGGTGTGAGTCTTTTAATTTGTAAATACTGTTATTTATTGAGGCAAAAACTTCAACTTATAATCTGCCAAAGAAATACTCGTGTTTTTGCAGATAATTGTGATGGATAGTATAGTTAACGCTTCATGTTCAATGAAGATCGGATTGTTAAAAATGCAATTTTTCAACATTAAATTTTTCTTGTAAATATTGTATGCTGAGGTTTAAAGCTATTTATTACATGTTTGTGCTGGACTGAAAATTGTTTTGCTAACTGAGCTTTCTGGGAAGTGTTATGGTGCATCATAAGTCTCTCTTCTTTGCATGTAAACTTGTCACTGACATGAATTGAAGTAGCTTAGTTCTCTTCTTAAAATTTATTTAATCACATATTTTTATAATGTATTTATAGATGTAATATTTACTAAGGCTGTGTTTAATTGCAGTGTAATCATGATTTATAAATGAAATCACAATTTTGATAATTGTGAGAATATCAGTATTGTTTTCCAATTTCACCTTTTTATCAAGTGTTTTGGTAGTTGTGGAATGTTTTGTTTTTTTTCTTTCTCCCAAGGAGATGCCCAATTTAATGTATCCCTTTTCATGGTTATGTACATAAAAATTGCTTCAGTGAAATGATGTCATTTAAAAATTGATATTTAATATGTTATAAAACGAGAGGAAAAACTCTGAATTGTTTTATCTCCATACGATTAGAGGAAAGTTCAAAACCTGTCCCGTTTCATGCTCTTTGCATCATCAAGCTTTTATGTTAGGTGACCAGTTGTATATAAATAAACAGCCAAATAACGGATGCATTATTCTAAATTGGTAGAATAAATAAAAAAAATTAATTTACTTCGACATATTGTTCTGGCTACAGAGGAATTCCTAAAAAGTAAAAGCCCTTTTACTTCTGTTGCCGTATCCTTTTAACAATTCTACCCATTACACTTTAATCATTTTGTATTATTAGTTGTAAGTTGGCATTAAAAAGTAATTTCTTCCTACAAATCTTTCATTTTAAGACAGTCTTTAGCTGTTATTTGTCATGCTTGATGCCTTTTTATCTAAAAGTCATCATCATCATAATCATTATTATATTATCACTACTGTTTTACTATTTTATACATTGTATTTTCCTAGTGTTATTTTAAACTTATTAGATCCTGTTGTAATTATGTGTTTTGCTTTTGAATGTCTTTTCTGCTTCAATTATCTAGTCAAATGCTTAGTCATTGTGTAATGAATTAAACCAATCCAATGTTTAGAGTTAAAATTTGTATGTGATAATTACTGTCATGTAAATTAGGCGTTTTGCGTTTGTGAGTGAATAGGAATTGAGATATTTTAACTTGTTTACCAGGCTTTTTCTAATAACCTAATAATTCTTTCATAAATCATTCCATTTAACATAAAGTAACTGAGAGTGCATTCCAGTTGTTTAATGAGTGGTTTGATTTATTAGCAGCACTACCTACCAATTTCAACTGGTACTATTTCTGCTGCAAAAACTCTACTTACCAACAGCAGTTTGTAGAAATTACAGTATTTGTAAATTAAAGGTATTTAATAAATAGTTATTTGAATTTGGTTACTGAACAACTGTTTATCCGAGAGAGGAATTATTTTTCTTTCCCAAGACACACTATCCTAAAGGACTCATTCATGTAGTGTTCCTGTGCCAACATATTTTATAAAATGTGGACAAAGCTGGATATTCATATTTTAAAAAAAATAAAGGTTTTAATTTAGGTAAAGAAAGCAGACCATCATTATTTAGAATTTGTTGTCATATATGAAGGGATAAAGAAATTAACATAAAAATATCAATTTCTCATCATAGGCAGAAAACTGACTTTGGTTCGATGCACAAATGTAATAATTATTAACATATTACAATTTAAATTATAGTGCAAAACAGTTTGAGTGTGAATGTGCAGTTTAAATGGAAGGCAATCCTCTCTGTTAACAATGTGAGATATATACAAACATTCCAAGGGACAAATAGTGGAATAAAAAATAATTTTAGAACATTGGGACCCGGCACTGACAATATACAACTGTAAAAACATTTTTATTATACTTTTTTACATAACTTCTATTATAACTTGTATTATAAAGCTACATTAGATAGCTATGTTGCATGTGACTAAAATAAATACATACGTACCTGGGGAAAATAGTAGCTGAATATTTGAATCAATGAATTCTAGTATACAATCCGGATAGTGGACTGAAGGTACACATCACCACTGGTGTCCCACATGGTTCAGTGCTGGGTCTACTGCTGTGGAATATGTATGAGTAGGGAGCTGATTTTAATGAAATGTCATTTTTTTCTTTTCGCTTTAAAACAATGTTTTTTCGTAAAGAAATTCATTTTATGTTATGATGAAATGAAATGGTCCATTTTCATGTCATTATTTTGCATTTTTCGTCGATTTCGACTAATTCATTTTTTACTGCATTTTCGCTGATTTCATCGATTTTAAGATTTTAATAGTTCTTGCTTCCAACAATATTTATGATGTGCAACAAGTGTTCACCACTGAATTCCCGAGTAGCCTATTAGATTTCTTTGCTCATATATTCTAATGCCAGCCGTTGTGAACACACTGTAATCTTAAGGTTCGTGTGAAGTCTATCGGTGCCAATTTCGTGATAAAGGCAGATAATTTTTTTTAATGGACAATCCAAACCCAAAGTTTGCAAGCTGAGTTCTCGTGAACAAAAGGAAGAAGCCTCGATTATATCAGTAACATATCCAACAGCTTGAGGTGTTCATCTGAAGTGGTTTTGATCGCATTTTTTACGTAATTTTTCTTTGTTTTTAAAGCATTTTATTGATCATTTTTGGCAATGTTTAGGTCATCAAAATCTGCCCACTAATGATGAGATTCTTAGGAACCCACTCCCAGAAGGAAACAATATCATTGCCATCGTCGTCGTCGCAAAATTTTTAGAAAAGAGAGCGTGTATTTGCGATGAAGCTATTGCCATAGTCAGTCGTCGTCGACTATTGTCATTACCATCACCGAACACAAGACAGAAGTGCTACTTATAACTGGCAGAGAGAAGAGAGAATTCATCACTGTCGAAGTCGGTTATCACAAAATTGTATCACGACCTGCGGTAAAATACATCGGCATTATTATTGACACGCGCTTGTCCATCAGAGACCGCTTGGGCTATGCCAAAGCGGAGATGATGAACGATGCGTTTACTAGGTTAATGTCGAACACTGGAGGGCCTAGTCATGAAAAGAGAAAGCTGCTTGTCTCGGTCGTCACATCGGTTCTGTTCTACGGCTCACCAGCATGGGTGGCTTCATTATGTCGTTTATCTCCGCTCAGGGTTTGCATGTGCATGCCGCAGTTTCCAATGAAGCAGTTTGCGTCATAGCCGGCATGATCCCAATAGATATAATGGATCGTGAACGTCAGAAGCGTTATGACAAAAGACGGGAAGTAGAATGGCAACAGCGATGGGACACCTCCTCGAAGGGCAGATGGATATACCGACCAATTCCTACAGTTGAAACGTGGATCAGTGGAAAGCACAGCGGGATAAATTTTTACCTCGCGCAGTTTCTAAAGGGGTATGGTTGCTTCAGAGCCTACCTTCACACGTTCAAACTGGATGATTCTCCACATTGTGTGCGAACCTGATGTCGAGGACGCGTGCTTTTTTAGAGTCCACGTTTCGCACCTCAAAGACGAGTCACTGCTGAGATACTTGGTGTAGGCCAGACGACTCCAGAAACGTAGTTGCATGCTTGTTTCTGAAAGCAATTGGTGGACTGTGTGTAAATTTGCACAAGACGAATTGTTGTCTAATACGCTCCTAGGATATTTTGAATGACTGAGCCGCAATAAGCACACAAAAATTGTTTTGAAAAAATACTTTTTATGCAAAAATTTGTATTTCAGAAACAAAAACACTCCTGAATTGCGCCAATTGTTTATTTTTTTTACAAAAGAAATGAATATATGTGTTCATGAAGAAAAATTAACAGAAATAAAAAACCATCAATTTTTTACATTTCAATTGCTTCTCACTTTTTCTCCTTTAAGAAGGTACTTCTTAAGAATGAGTGTTAAGTAATGCTGCAGGAAAAAGAGGAGAATTTTCGGCAGAAAAACTTATTGCCTGGGTCTGACCTGGATAAATCGTTATTAAATTTAGAAACGAAATATCTTATAACACATGGTGTAGCCAGTTTTTTGTTTTTTTTTTTTAGCCTCAATTCCAAAAATAGACAACTGCAACTTCTGTCAGTGAACAACACTAGCGGCTAAACCGTTTAGCCAATTTTCTCCAGAATTAATATTCCTCAATTGCTCTGGCTAATGTCGCGGCCCTTTGAATTTGAAACTGATATTTTAATTTGGGGGGGGGGTACTTAACACGAAACCCTTGGGACATTTTCAAATAATGCTTTTATTTTTTATTAAATTTTGTTGTTAGATTGTGTCAAGGACATTTATACAAATGGTGCAGGTCTCATTTTCGTTAAAAATACTAATTTTTTGAAAATTGCAAAAATTCCAAAAAATATCGGCATCTTACCACAACTACAATTGTGATGACAAATTTTTCTTAATGAAATGTACTCATAAAAAGCCTCTTCAAATAAGGTAATGTTGAATTTTCTGAAAATATGAGTATTTAAGTAATTTGGCTTCAAACTTAATTGCCCGATACGAATATGTTGCACTTCGTGAACGTAATATGAGAGGCGATACAAGCAGATGTATGCTACGTATATAAAACTTGTATATTCTTTCGTATTACTTTGTTTTTTAAATTCGAGCTTTTGTTATAAGTTTACAAATTAATCTTTTAGAAATTATTTAATACCTATTTGAAATATACGAAATAAAAACTGCTAGCCTTCAGGGAATATCAGAATGGAATGCAACAATTACATTCCACCTCATGACTCGCGAATTTCTGTGAATTATGTCTCATTGTAGTGACCTTATTTAGCTGTATGAAAAGCAGTTATAATTGTGAAATTTGCTTGGAAATATTTAGTTTCCGACTCAAATGTTCTACGATTTGTAATGAGTTTTACAAAAATGATCACTAAGATGTGTTCATTTAAGTAGAAATTGTGGTAAAAATAGTATTACATAACCATTACTTGCGGCGGCGATGGTGTTCCCCAAGTTCGCGGAAGTTATAAGAGCAACAATGAATCTACATTTATATAAAATATTTACAACTTCTGATTGTTCAGAACAAGTATTTGTGCATAACAGCAAACAATACAAAATACAATTTAATATTAAAAACTTGGTATTTTGGATGTAAAGTAAATTACATGCTTAAAATGTTCATTAAAGTGAAAGAAACCAAAATATATTTAGAAATGAAATACATTCTGCAAGCATTTCTGTATTTTAATACTAGACTTTTTAATGACTGACCCCCTTCGTAAAACATCTGATGATGTCAGTAGGTATGTCTAGAATACGTGACAAATGCAAATCCGAGTTTAGCAGAATTTATGTGATTTAGTAAATTGGGATTAAAAATGAATTAGGGTAGCAAACGTATTGCTTTCAATGAATAACATGAAACAACATTTCAGTACTGTTACAAACTAAACACATATATTAATTTTGAATCTAAAATTATAAGAAACACATACAATTTAATATTATAGGAAATCCTACATTGTACTTTTATACATTATTATAAATTTTAGTGGTGAATTTTAATTTTAATTGTTATTATCATTAATAATTTTTTTAAAAATGATTTTTGATGAATATTTAAAGTGCAAAAATTCCAGTGTTTGAAATGAAATCTGTGGAGAGATACAATCTGTTAAGAGAAACAATGCAGACACAATTAATGTTTCCACATTATATTGTAATTGGAACTATTGTATTAAAGTATTTCATGTGTTTCAATCTCTGTGAATTAACTGTAAATAATATTTTATTCATGAACAATATGATGTCATGAACAAAAGTGATGTCTTTTGTACTTTACCTGCAAACTATGCACAAAACATGGAGCTAAGGTTAGTCCTTTCTCTGCAAGGTCCATCAATATTTGTTGTTTTGGTAGCAGTGATGACAGCAGTTACATTCTCCAGTTTTATATCCCACTCAAAATAATACGTCAATTACATTTCCTCACTGTGCAGTATCCATTCCTGAACCACAATGTAAAGTACCAAACACTTTTGTTTCTAGTACTGGATAAAATGACTGTGGAAACTGCACAGAAATAGTTTAAAAAAATTCTCCATTGGCACAATTCCATTCTTCAACACTTAAACCCATTTCACCTTGATAACATGATACCAAAGTCTGATCACTCTCTTTAAAATTATCATAAATGCTTGGAATTAACTCTTCTTCAAGTTTAATTTTACTGTGAATTTCACATGGAGAGTGCAATGCAGCCATTAGTCTTTAGTATCCTCGTCCTTGTACAACATCCGGTAACGGAAGGTCCAGGATAACAAATTCTGCAATAATATCTGAAATTGCTTTACCATAGAAGACATTTGTATTCTCGTCTGGTAAAATTATGGCCACAATTTGATTCCCTATTCCAGGACTACTCTCTTGCAAGACAACCTGCACATTT